ATAATATGTATAGAGAACGATATCACGATACTTATGGGTTGTCAACATTTTCTCTCTCTATCTTAATAACTCTCTCAGTAACGTATTATAAAAAACAATGCGTAACATAAGTGTATCCATATAAATGACACAATTAAATCTATTTAAACACAACTCCTCCTGCGTCCTGATAAAATGTAATACTTTTAGTGAGTTTCTTGGCTATTTTTTATAAAAACAAATTCCGAATGGTAAGTACACAAATGTCCGATAAATTATCATAATATTGCGTATAATATACACGTCATTTTATATATTTACATAAATCCAATTATAATGTTATCGTATATATATCCGAACAAATTAAAAATAAATTATGTAGATTCTAACGTGCACTTGAAGTTACCATTTAGTACAACGTGTTTATATTATTCATGAACCATTTGGCAATAACATAAATATTATGAGATTTGATGTTATTCACACGTATTTCGGGTTATATTTGTTATCGAATTAAAAGATCTATTTAGTTGGAAGGCACAGTGAATGAACATTGTGTTCATAAAATATTTCTTGATAAGTACACAGAAGAACTTATATACTGCAAATGACAGCCATTCGGTTCTTATATTCTCGCAAATAGATTATGGAATCATGTTAACTAAACTTTAAAATGTTATATTCATCGTTTTTTGATAAATGAAAAAAAATGTTCCTGCACAGATAACACATGCATTACATTCCAGTATTTTTATATATTTTTCATTCTTATAACACGAACCAACATTTTATCACAAGATTATATTTTTTAATATCAACAGTTGACATTTTTAAACAATATGTCAATGTGAGTATCAATTTTAAACTCTTTTCCGTAACCAAAAAAAAAGCCAATGTTTATGTTTATACTTTTAACATTTTGAAATGCGAATTTATTAAGAATATTTTGAAATGGTCTATGCTTTGATTCAAAATATTGTTTCAAAATATGATTTCACCCTCGGAAAGACTTCTTAAATCAATCTCGTAAATTTTAAAATATGTTTGGCAAAACATTTAATGATCAATATTTCACATTATGCGAAACTAAATAAATATCCTATTCGTTATTTTAATGAAATATACTACATTACAATAAACTTGACTAAAATTATCGCAAGTGGGGTAATATTTTTACACGTGATTTAATGTAAATAAAACAAAATACACGCAGAAAACTGTAAGAACATATTATCCTTAGGTAGGTAGTTAAAAATGTTATGAACAATTACCTTGAAAAAAATTATGTTGTAATTAAAATTCGTAAAGTAATCCATTACTTTTATAGCAAAAAATGTTTGTTACATCTCACAATACGTATAGGTAAATTATATTTTAACATGCAATAATTCTAATCACCTAAATTAATTTACATTATTTTCCTGAAGAATAATAATTTCTGAATTTGACGTTAATAATTTGAGTTACTGCGAAATTTGAACATTTTACGATGTTATTCAGTAGTTTATATCACTGTGGAATTTATAGTGATAGCAATTAAGGCTGACGATCTTAAAACAAAGTTCGTTTAGTTATAGCTGTAAAATATCTTTATCAAACACTTAAAATTTGTATAAACTATATCGAGTCAATGATACCGGCTATATAGTTAACAGCGAACTCGGTTCGAAATCGTTTTACGAATAAGATGATTTATCATTGCGTTCACGTTAAAACCTCCAGTTCCTGTATCTCAATAATATCTAGCACGTTTTGAGAGTTCAAGACTCAGATGTAAACATACATAATATAATTTGAAAATATCACTATCTAAAAAATGCATTTCATGAGACGTTTATAAATGAAATTTTGTAATACTCTTATATTCCCTTCGAAATTTTGAATGGAAATTTGTGAACAGTTTAAAAAATAAATCCCGTAATAGATATTTTTGTTTGAAACAAATATTTATGACAATGATATATCACACACTACGGATAGATTTCGTATTTATGACAGATCCCTTTTAAAATTATGACATTTTACTTTTGGGAAAATAAATTCTCATAAAAAAAAATATGTAATCCACGTGATATAATCTGTGAAATTACGAAATTATCAATGACAGAGAAAATTTAAGGCCCTTTAGCTAACAATTACTATAATACTTAATAGGTAATCTGGACTATTAATTAATTAAAACCCGTTTAATCTCGTATAATAACTAAAGGCCAATAAATATTAGTATACATATATACATTTTGCTAAGTATAAAATATTTACCATCGTTATCAGTGATGTTAAATGTACTGTATAGAATTAATTTTCACGCAAACCGTGTGTATCTTTATTTTTCAAACTTGAAATTAAAACTGTTTTATAAAAGCTCATTTAAAAGTCAAAAAACACTTAAATTTAATAACTATGCAGTGTTATAAAGTCATTATAGAAATGTATCGGTAATATCATGGCAATTAAATTAAACCAAACATTTGAATTTATGACCTAAAATGATTGAATTTTAACAACTAATGTTTTTTTTAGGTCTATTATATTTATATTTATCTTGGCTGATGGGCAATGTTTTTCATTTATCAAGGAATCAGTATAATGACCAATATTTATTAATGTACAATTGGCTTTAGTACAATTTAAATAATACATTTTGTGTCAATTTTATTTTTATTTTTATTCAAAATACAAATAAATACTATATGTAAATCAATTAATATTTTTACATCGCTATACAAAAAAAATTAAAAAAGGATAAAAAATTACGTAAGATGATTAATTTAGCAAATTAATACGAACTTTATTGTTTCCGTCCAACAGTTAAGTCAACTAAAATTAAAATTATACCTATCAATATTAACTAAAATAGTAAAACTAAATAAAAATTAAGAATTTACAACTATAACAAAAAGTGATATTAACTTTTGGGTATTTTTGTTTATTAAGTATTCTCAATGAATAATGATCATTATTAATATTTAGTATGACTGCTTTTTTTTAAATCTATTACCATTTAGTATTTAATTTCAATGAATGCTTCAGAAAATACTAACAATGAGATAACGTAATAAATTAAAAATTAGTTAAAATGTATATCATAAACGTTGAATCATACATAAATTGCGTAGTTAAAATATATTAAATCACCGTTTTCGGAATTCAAATTTTAAACTTTATTTACTGTCCACACGTACTTTTTTATAAAGTTTAAATAATAATATAAAACACATGTTTTAAATATCCATAAATTCATATGGTAGACATCTAAAGTTTCAAAAAAAAAAAAAAAAATTGCGTTTCAACTATTTGGCACTGACAAATACATTGTCTATTATACATACATTATATTTTTTCCATTTAAACCATAAAATTATAATAACTGAATGAATAGAGCTTACGTTTAATAATTATTTTCTCAATAAATTATGTAAATAAAAAGGAATACTCTTAAAATGAATAATTGAAATTGCTTTTTTAGCTTTGAATTTCAGCTAGTATAATTTTATCGTGAAACTTGTTTGGAGAGATTTATAACGATTGTGAAAAATATCCATTGTCTTTATATAAAACTACAATGAAAAAATTAATTAAAAAAAATTTGAGTACAAAGATTCTATAGAAATATTGATACAGATGCTGAATAATTTCAAATTCAATTACTGGAAATGCACTAATACCAGTAGTATTGTGAACTTAAGGAATTCCATTTATACTTTTTTTATTAATTAAAGAATGTATTTCGCTTGACAATATTTACAAAATTATTGAATTTTCTATACATATAAGACTTACATGTTTTATTTTGATAGTTAAATCAAACCAAGAAAATATTTAAATATAGATATAATATGAACCAAATAAAATCAAAAAACCAATAAAATAAAATTGTTATTGTATATTTTTCATCAGCAATACTGTGGATACCGTGCGTATTCATTGAAGTACAAAACAATATTGAAATATAACAAATTTTGTATAGTGAAATTTAAAAATATAGTTTAATATTACTATTATTAAATGTAATTTCTGTAAACAAAAGTATGGTTGTACATGAATCAAACTATACTAACTGAATTTTCAAACCATACAGGTGCTTTAATACCATAAATTTAAAATATTATCGTTTTTCTAGATGTTTATTTTATAATGCCCTAGAAAATCGATAATCCTTAATACAACTACTGGTTAAGTTTAAGTTGCACCAGTTGAAAAATCATTGTGGTGAATGAAAATAAAAATAAATGTTTTGTAATTCATTTTTTACATTTATATAAGTTGTAACATACACATTTTCTGGTTTGTAATATTTGTGATAAATTATTTTTAAATACAAAACAATTAACAAAGCTCATATAATATAAGTATGATAAAACCATCCCATTTAAACAAAATTTGATGTTTAAAAATAATGAATAATTAAATACTTCCCCAAAACACTCCGACACAAAAACCTCTGCATAATGACTTGTGAAATTTTAATCACTCTGAACACACGATTACGTTACACTTTTATTATTTTGTGCACTCCAAATGCAAATGCCTTTGAAATCAATTTTTGTTAAAATCATTTCTCATCTTTGAACCATTATAGAAATAATTAACATTAAGTTAAAGCGAAACTAAACATTACGGGCACCTGTAAAATATTCTATTCTAGTGGATAATATTATATAATATAATATACATATTATTATAATAACTATTGATCTAAATATTAATTACTAAAAATCAGTATTATAACCTATTACATTATTTAATATTTTATCAAAATCCTTTATATTTTTACTCGAACAATGATTTTAATATTTCTAAATAAATATACGGTATGTTGAATTTTTTTTCCGGAAAACACTATTACGGGGACTAGTTTTACGTACATCTGTTGATACGTATTGCATCACAGAATTAGTGTGATACTGTCGAATTAAATTCATAATTGAACGTACAATGATTACCTACTTAATTTAATGAGACGTATAATATAATACTATAATAGAAAATAGTGTTGGAAAAAAAAATGGTCCACTCACTTCTTGTGTCTTGATATGTGTCGGTGACAAGTTTAACGAATGGGTTGGTCGTGTAACCGTGCAAATAATGACTGTTCCATGTTTTCTTAGCCGTGATCTCTATACCAGACTTAGAGAAAACTTCCGTTATGGTAGACGCAATTTTACCAAAATGAGTGTCGTCCGCGTTCGAATACAAGAACGTCACCTATACAAATACGTTATTGAATGTATTATTATAAATCAATATATACATATCAACGAGTCTCAATAATCATAATAATATATTTATATTCTATGTTTGAAAATGTATTGTAAAAGAATATGATAACTATTATGTAATCAATTATTATGAAACGAATTGAAAAAAATAAATTAAGGTTGGTACATTAAAATTCTTCTTTAATGTATTTTGCCTTTAATCCGAAATATTACAAATTATTTTCTTGTGATTAACAAATACATAAATAGGTTATCGTTTTTTTTTTTTTTTTTACTAACAATTTCATAACTGAGTATTAGCTATTAATTAAATACAACTCTGTTGAAAATTACTGACAAAATCAAAATTCACTAGTTTCGTTTTCTTTTTTTATTCTTTTTTTAACTTATTTTGCATAAAAAGCATGTTATCTATTTTTAATTTATTAAAACATAGTATTCAAATGACAAACGGTTTAGAATATCAAACAGGTTTTACAACTGAAACATGAAACTGTATCAATTAGGTGGTTAAAGCCAGTTTTCGTAATTGAAAATAATGAATTAACCTGTAGTAAAAATCACTTAGTATAATTTTACTTAAAATTACAAAATATTATTAGTTTTTTGGTATTTGAGTAGAATATCAAAAATATTGGTTAAATGAAAGTGTGATTTGTTATTACTGTAATTTTTTGAGCCGTAAAGTGATCCGCATGTTTGGTTATTAAATTATATGTATTTAATCAGTTGGAAGTAACTTTAAAACTATTGGTTTTGAAACTTCTTAGAATTTATAAGACACAAAAATACAGAAAAATCTTACCTTAATCTGGATAGACTAAAATTTGCAAAAAAATAGTATTTATTATTACTTTCAAATTGAAAATAATTTAATGTAAAAATGGTTTCTATTTTTAGATAAAAATTGTTTATATAATTTATGCAAAGTTTTTTTAACTCTTTTCAGTCAACTAAATCGTCTTTATATATAATATTTGCTTAAATTTACACAAAGGAATGTTTTACAAAAGATTTCTAAAAAAATTCTTAGGGAAACAATACAATAACACCTATATCATTAATGTAGAACAATATACAAACAATTGTTAAAAAAAATATAATATACATTCTTATCAATTGTGTTTATTTTAATTATGCATCAATGACAATGTTCAACCGTCAATTAAAATGCTACTTTAGAATATGTTAATGATATTATTAGTTTACCTTTTTGATTACAATACAAGATGTGTTTTAAAAAATATAATCAATGTGTTTTTCATTCTCCATTACAGAATTTCGTAGGAATAAATATTTATCTCAGAACTATTATGTTATTTAATTGCCGTAATATTTCATGCCAGTGAGTTTTATCACGCAACAGAAGTGTTATACGCGCTAAAAACATTTACATTAAGTTTCACTTTAAGCTTTGAAAATTTCAACTGCAGCGCATGAAACATTGCGTGTTATAGGAATAACGTTATACCTCGAAAATATAATTTCAATTCATTCACATTTTGGTCGTTTTTTAAAGGCTAAAATCAACGGAATTTTCGCACAGTGATTACAAAACATGCATTATTCAGAGCTAATCAAAAGTTCTGTATTCAATTATCTATTCATTATAATACATTTTTACAGTGCCCAAAACAATGCACAATGAATTTTTAAAATTACCAAAATTAGATAACCGCAATCTGAATTCCAACAATCTTTACAAATAATATAATCCCAGATATTTTCGTTATTTCTACCCATCTCAAAAACCAGACACAGATTATTGAAAAATGATTGTATAAAACACTTTATTCGGATCATTCTTATTTTGAACAAACCTAAAAACACCTCCAATACGAAATCATCGTATTTAAATACAAATCGACGCGTTTTCTATTATTATCGTAATGCGTATCGTGAAGTGAATATAAATGAACACTGAATAATAAATAATTAAAGCATAAATCGGAACGGCAGCCTTGGTTTTCGGAAAACTGCGTACATATTATATATATATATGTATATACTTTAGGTACCATTTCTAGTACTATTTCGCAAATATATTATTAGACTCCGTCATCCTACAGCATTTTAAAGAAGCCAGTGATAATGATTCGCAGTGTACATTTCTAGGGGACTTGCGTACGTCTAGAGATTTTGTAGAACGTCATAGATTTAGTCGTGAGGTTGGCGTTTTCAAACCATTTTGTAAGTCAGACGCATAGCACGCGAAACACGATTCGGAAGCTTTGATGTGGGCAAGAGGTGATTTCGAGAAAACAGAAGACCGATGGTCGTTGATATGAAACTGAATTTATTCAAAAGGAAAACGGAACAGTCGCGAGATGATAAGGTAACGGTTCAGGACGACAAACGAAAAGGGAAATAATAATGTGCCGTCAAGTGTCACAAAGTAGGGCACGATCAGTATAAGTACTCTGGTCGAATGTACGTGGTTGGAGGAGATCGCGAGCTCGGACTATGACGTTCACTGATATTGTACAGACGCCTAGTGGATTTGTTCCTCACCTGAGTCCAGTTGAACGCTTTCAGGACCGCGGCCACCGACTTCGATATCTGCGTATCCGGTGGACGCGTGCGGGCGAACGTCGGGAACAGCACCTTGTCCGAAGTATCCGAGTCCATACAGTACTGTAAAACGTACACATACAAAAGCTTTAGAAACTTTCAAATACTTAAGTGATTTATTAGTTGATATCGTGATACAAGCACCAATAGTGCTATGGGACTTGCAACGATTAAAATTTAATCAATGCAAAAATTGATTAAAACGTTGCTTTTGCGTTTTGAAACGATCACTGAACCAATCAAATGTTTTGATGTATTATTATACTATAATATACAACTCAGCTGATAATCTTATATTTTCCAATCGTAAAATTATTTATAAATATATATAAATACGTCGTATATATATAGTCGTATTACAATACTAAAAACGTACCTATGTATAATTCAAAACTACTATATTAAATTTATATAATATCAAGATTATAATATAATTTTGAAAATTACAGTTTCCCCAAAAGTTTTCAACTAAACAATGAATAATATAATTCAAGTGTACTACGTTTAATGTTCAGTACAATCTTTGAAGTAATAAACACTTACGGATATTTTACAGAAATACGGGTTTTCAAGCGAACTCGTTTTGCACTTAGCTCTCATTGCCGCAAGCCAGTGTTGAAAAATAAAATTTTCATATATTTGTTGACAAAGAACAATAATTCATCAGACCTCCTCCTCCTCTTAAATGTTAATAAGATCTTTTTTTAAATTTACAGTATTCATGAATTATTTTACAAGTAAATATTTTCAAAATTTAGTAATAGCAATTTAAATCGAAATACTCAAAACTACAAATAATATTAAAAGGAATCTTAAAAAGACCTTATATAAATTTACTTTACGCAGTCTTAAAAGATGAAATTTATAAATCTCACATTAATAATATTAATACATATTATTGTAATCGAAACAACAAAAATCTATCAGTCAATTATTTAATATTTTTAAGGTATAATATACATAGAATTTGGTAACATAATCAATAACTTCAAATACTAAAATAAATAATGTAAATAACGTTTTCCTATCTCAAATTATTTTCTCATTAAAATAAAAAACAGAGTAGGGCATTAGTCGAATGAAAATGTATTTGATTAATTATTCGATTAAAAAACTATTCTTTATTCATTTTTTTTTTATGTGATCATTCTTCTTCATTTCAATCATCATTTTAATTTTACAATTATTCATTATTGATTTCATTCAACATTTAACCATGTTTAACGCAAATGTTTTGTAGATAACATAACATTCCAAATTGGTTGATATCTGTAGGATTCCTATTTATATGTACTATCTAAAATGAAGTCATAAGTTATTGTTATCAATTGGTGATTTATCTTATCATAATCATTGTTATTATTATTTAAATGATTGTTATCATTATTATATTGGTATTATTATTTGCATTATTATAAATATTATATAGATATTATTTTTATAATTTTCAAAAATTAAATAATATTCACAATTTATTAAATTTATTTCTTCAAAATTAACGTTGTAATGAATATTTTTTTTTATACTTACTAATTAATACTAGTTTACTAATTACAATATTAAAATTATTTAAAATAAAATATTATTTTTAATCTCAAAATCAAATTACTTATTATGTTTTTATTTTTCATCCATAATTTTAATCTAATCTTGTTCAACTTTGGTACAAAACCTATAATCCAAAGACTGGTCCGTGATATTTTAATATTAACAGCTATTATAATAAATACGTATAGTTATTTTTATAAAATCATTTATACAATAAAACACATCAAGTAGATTTTAATTTATTAGCACAAAATAATAATTGTCTACGTGTCGTTTCCCGACGATATTTTAATTTGCAATTCTTAACGAGCGTTACGTATCTTGATCGCAATAAAAAAGCTTAGGCATTAAACCGCTATAATAGTGAATTTATTCATATAGTACTTTTTAGGATATGATTTATCTCTCCGACTTAAGATAAATTAAGTTCAAAAATAAATTTCTGCGCATCTTAATTTAATTCACTAATTATACATGTATACGTTTACACAATTAGATGTGCTTCAGATAGATATTTTAGATCGTCACAATAAAATGGATTATATTCTAAACAAACAAACGTTTTTGCAGAAGTTAAAAAAAAATTAATGAAAGCTATGTCAAAATAAATTGAGATAAATTTAAAAAAAATTAAATTAAATTCGTATAAGCTCATTTTTTAATTTACCTAGTTTTGCAGCGGAGTGGAGCAATTTGTATTTCGCATAAATGAAAAGGAGGGTTAAACTGAGTAAGATGAAAAAAAAAGATAAATTGCAAAATGGTAGTCACAATTTACAAACGTCTGATCCATTAATTTGGTTTTTTTTCACCACTTTCTTTTTGCACAGCTGTAGCTAGTAAAAATGAGTGGCATTTTATTGTTTGTCGTTTGGTGTATAATGCAACTAGATAAAAAAAAATGTACTTGCTGAATCTATTCGTTATCTTCGTTTACCCATACCATTCATACGATGTAAAATATTACCACGGCCAAACAAACACTCAATTCTTTATACACGCACGTTGTATTACTATTATGCGCATAAAAATCACCGACTCGATCAAACTGGTTTTGTTCTATACTTACACAAGCCAATCATTCATACCGGTAGTCAACCTATTATACCGTAAATTTACATTTTAATCGGTCAATAAAAATCACTTATAACAAAATCATGTGACTTATTATTAACATTCTTCGTGTCGATTTAAATCATAATTAAGCCTCGCAATATGCAAATTAATCGGTCTGTTTTAAATATGTAACGGTTTTATTTATAAATTCCAAATATAAGTGTTAACAGTATAGTAATAAATTGTATATATTAGTTTTCAAAATATTCTGAGGGAGAACATTTATTGATACCGGTATTAGGTATGGAGAATAAACGTTTTCCTTTTTTCCAATAGTAGAAAGTGTATTAATTTAAAAATACTTAAGCATAGAAACACTTTTTCGCGGTTTTTTAACAGAATTATATTTATAATTTATATATTGTGACGATATATATATACTGAGTACATTATTGTCTCGCATGAATAAAGTTATAAATAACGTAAATATTTTAGCAAGTCTAGAAGAGACAAAGTCCTTTTTTTTTTTTTTTGGAATTATTTCATCACTAAAAAAATTAAACACTAAAAAAATTTAATTATTTATACAATTCATACGCACAGAAATGTACTCGCATATTTTTAATTTAGAAATATGTCTTTTTAATCATAAATGTGTCATAACATTTAGTCCGTCAGAGGTAAAGGAATAGCACCAGATGAAATAACACACTATTAAATTCTGAAACCAGTACTGCTTAAAATGCTACTCTAGACTTCAAAACGCATAACGCTAAAACGTTGCACCTCATTGTTTTTATTCCACGTACGGACGGAAAACTAATAACTACTAATAAAAATGAAAAAAATAAATGAATTGACTGTACGGCTGTGTTCTGGTTTTCATACACACGCGTAAACGTACGCACATACATGCACGCACGTACGCGAGCTCGCAAAAATCACAGAAGCGTATCACGTGCGTCCGATTTTTTTTTTTGTTTCACTAACGGATTCAGTTACATTGCCGATTTCTATAAAGTCGGGGCTAATGATTATTTATTGGTCGTGTAAACTATTCCCCGGGGCGGCACATATTTTCTGAATCTCGTTAACCGAACGGTTTAATTTGTGGAATGACAGTTGAATACATTATGAAACCCATTTAACCACCTTCGTTTCCGATTCACGTACCGTAATACAACGCGATACCACGTTATCGCGAACACGCTACCGTTATAGATTCGCGGACCGTACGCAACATTGTTTTACTTATCTACTACCTACGTTTTTTCGGCGCTTTTGCCAGTGCCTGTACAAATATACCGCCAAAAGGAGTTGGTTTTTTTTAACACCACGAACGTAACAAAAAAAAAAAAAAGCCATTTTATTTCGATAAAGAAAAATGGTTTCTAATCGTGTACGAGTAGATTTTCCGGTAAACTTCGTTTAGCCGTACGATGAAAATACCAATAAAATAATAGAAAATAAAAATCAAAAACTTCAAGACATCACGTTAACTTGCGGTTCGAATGTCAAAAATGAAACAGCTACACCGTCAATAGAGATATGGGACTTTTATCGGACGGTACAATGAATTGGCATAACATAAACTTGATAGGTATTTATAGATGTATACGGATGCACATAAATAATATTTCTCGTGCGATAACTATTCATACCGTTTTGGTCGAAACATCCTTTAGGAATAACAATGACCATCATACATATTTCATCATGAATAATATTCTTCGCATCGAATAACGCCAAAAACACTGATTCTCGTTAATTAAATAATCAAAACATTTATACTATAGGTCCTATTGGATTGAACAGCGAGAGTCAAACAGACTCGGACCGACTAACGACGACGACCTGATTCAATTATCCAGCTACGCGATATTTCAATGCGGACGTTCAATTAAATAATATATTGTTGGTCCACTACTCACGTCTTCTGTTAGTATTGCATGCATTCTTGTTTGCACGAGTCCCGTTTATCCCGTTCGTTCGTGCGGTTTCGAAAAATCAGTAAATTTAATATGAATCGAAACCGGAACGTCAAACATTTGTTTGTTTAACGGTTGGCGAAATGTCGTGCCAGGAAAGCGACCAAGGTATGCGATAAATATTAATTAGATCAACCTCTTCGATAAAGATCCGCGTCCGTTTACGGCGTATCCACACGACCGTTTCATCCTTGAGGAGTCCGGTGCAGGATAAAGGACGATACACCCCGGTAGATAATATTTCACTAACCGTTGGTACTTCTTCGATTCAATAAAACATGCGTTGAGGGGTATTGGCCGATAAAATCAATGTACACCCAAATTTAGCAACACTGCTATTTTTGTTTTCTTTTTTTTCTTTCGTTTCTTCTATACATAGCGGCAAATCGGATTTATTGGTCTTTGAACTGTACACACAGACAACAATAATATATACTCATGGAGGAGATAAGTCTGCACTATAAACATTAG